TTTTACAAACCCAATAAAATATTATATTTGTAATACAATAATTATAACAGTTTACATTACCGTTATAATAACGCGATAAGACCAAAAATATTGTTATTCTTTTAAGTTTTCATAAATAATTTTAAAAGATAATTTTCTTTAAGAAAATTTCTAAAAAAAAAAAATATTTCAATTTAATATTTCAAAAACAAAAATTAAATATCCGTAATTTATTTTATTAATTTTTCTAAATTAATAAACAAACCGTAACCATATTATTGTAAAAAGAAAGATCAAAACAAAAAATCACCGTATTAATATGCGCGAACAACTCAACGGTATAAAAAGTCTCGATCAACTAAATTATCAACTTGAATCACCTGGTAAAATTTCTCAAAATTAAATACACTAGAAATTTAATATCTATTGGAATGAAAGGAAATTGAAATTGCTGGAATTACTGGAATAACATTGCATTCAATTTTAAGCTTTTCATTTTATACATACATAATATATTTGTCAAATATCAATTTTTGAATATTTTGCGCCAAAAATTTATTTGAAAAATATCACTATGTGGTAAATTCTTAAACGTCAAATTTTACAAAATCTGAGTTGTCTGAGTTTACGGATACTCTACTACGTTTTTACTCTAGTCAAAGTTTAAATTCTTAAACGTTTAAAAAAAGTCAATTAAGCGTCAAAATTGTAGATTTTTTTTTTTACATGCAGACAGTCTGACGTAGTAATTCAGTAAATAAATTTGATGTGTTGAGTGACTATCATTACGTTAAAAATAATATAAAAAATATTTTTTTTGTTAATTTTTAATATGTAAGTATAAAATTATTTTAAATCTAAAAAAAAATTTTTTTTTGTTTTGACGTTTACGGATGATCAAAATTCAAAGTCAATTACGGGTAAAAAGTTTACTAGATTTCTGTCCGTAAAAGTTTTAGTTTCAGACAGTTTGCAGACTAAAATCAAAATTTTGACGTTAAAGAATTTGCGGATGCTTTTTAGATTATCAACAAAATATAAATAAAAATTGTTAATAAAACTGAAAGCTTTTAACGAAGAATAAATGCTCTTCTGGTTTATAAAAAACTCACTAATGTATATAATATATAAACGATGGCAAAGAATTAAGATTGTACTTTCTTCATATCGCATTATTGCAATAGTGTGATATTGGGTATTTATTGCTTGTGCATTCTTACATTTAAGTTTCATTAAGATTTACAAACTTTTACATCAAATGAATCTGAAAAATTTTTTGATCGAAGAAGTGTTTGGAAGATCTATCATAGTTCATATATTATATGTATGTACACTGTACCATAACTATTTTCTATTTCCAGTTAATATTCGTCTTCTGATTCCATATAAAATTATCTGATGCTAGTAAAACATTTTCTTTAACATTTTTTTTCAGACGGAATAAGAAAAACCTAATTATTAATTGGTCTTTTTGGAGAAATTTTACCCTTTTTTGTATTTAATTACTTTTGTATAGCTTTCATCTGGTTAAGTCATCCTCGTAATTTTGCATATCCATAGACTTCTCTTTATATTTTCTGTGTGAATATCCTTTTTGAATATTTTCGTTCACCATTTTGACGATTGAAAGAGCAGAAATAATAGGATATCGAAAAGGAAAGCATAATTTTGATAAAAAAAGGTTTCTTTTTATTTCTTCGAAAAAATCATGTAATATTTCAGATTCAACTTGCATGCATAAAATAAAAAATCCTCAATGATTTTCCCTATTTAATAGTTATTTTACAATAGTGCATTATTATTTTACAATATTGCGATTTTAAAATGGAAATTCCGAAATTTGAAAATAGTGTGCAGCTAGTATTTAGGCAAACCTCTATATCATTTGTTATGATAATCAATATGTGGTAGATATTACCTAATAATTCTTTGAATTACTTTGCTTTGGACAATATATACTGCATGTTGTACTGCTAGTTGCCTCTTTTGAATATGGTTTTAATACTGTTTTAAACATTTTATTACTGTTGATTTCGCATCAGACTATTCTTAATCGAAACAATCTTCATTTTAACAGCCCACTAACTAGCTCCTCTTTTCATGATATAAACCAACGAATTTTCATTCCAAATTCAGGTTCAACTTTTAAATATTTCAGTTTTCTTTTTTGAAAGCATTTTAACTGACCTTATAGTAAGGATTATTTTTATTTGATTAGTTCTCGCCTTTCCTAATTTACTTGAGTGAACACATTGTTTTAAATCCTGTCGATATTTATGTTAATTCACAAGTTAATATGTGCATGCTAGCCTGTACATATTATGTAAAAAGCTAGCATTCCTTAACTAAAGTAAAGAAATTATTTAATTATGCTGCTTATGTTTTTGTCGTTTCACTTACGATTTCATATTTTTTGTTCACAAACTATCTATGTAAAATGTAATTGCTTAAAACCAATGTTTAGATAAGTAAACATTGTAATAAGTAGATATGTACATATATAAACAAAAAATGAAGATCTATAACAGCTGTCTTATACCAAGAACACAATTACATAATTGCGCGATCTTGTATTAATTGAGCAGCTCAAGTGGTTTTGCGCAAAATTGCAACTTATACACAAAATACAATTATGAATAGTAAAAAAATATAGTAGTCAATAATCTGTTCGCATGCTCTTGTCAACAAATAAATGTATGAATAAAAATTACGTTTTAATTTGTGAACAAATAAAGTTAATAAGCTAATAATCTAACAGCTAATAAAGAAACGATCACATCTATGTACTGCTTAAAAACAATCAAATTGCCATATATCCTTTGTTTTTATTGACCAAGTAAAAAGAAAAATAAGTATCATGTTATCAATTATCAAATAATATAATTTTCAAGTGAAGAAATTTCCTGAATTGCGTGTATTGGGGATTATTCTGAGTATTGAATCATTAGTGACTAGGTGATAGCAATTATTATCGTAAAAACTTCGATATTATTATTGTAAATATAAACCATTTCATACAAATGGTTTATGTCTATAATAAATTTTTTTGAAACTTTTACTATATCACTTACTGATTCGATACTCAGAATAGGCTCCATTGTTTTTTCCAAAACGTAAACAAAATTTTATCCATTATTCATTCACTTTATTTTCAAAGGTGAAAAGTTCAGTCAGTATTTTAGGAAAATCGACTTGAAAGAATGTAAGTTTTGTTAATATACTCATTTTATTGAAAAATCATAAATATGTAATACTCGTAAAATTTTTTCAAAGCGTTATCGCAAAAATACGAAATATCGCTTCGCAAATGAGCTTTCCACCATTTTAATTTTAAAACAATTTTTGACATTTAGATTTTACTAATGACAATTGAGGTTATCAGCATTGACTATGACAGTTCACTGAAAAGAAAAAACTAACGCATACTAATGTAGCAAGTCGACTTAATTTCTTTTAAGCTTTAATAAAAATCTATAGTATGTCGAAATGTAATACATATTAAATTGCGTGCATGTATGTACATATATATGTATGTTAAGAAAAATGCAGTTTTTTTTTTCGAAAACGATTTAATATGTATAATAAAATTATGTACGCACTTTCATTTATTCATACCTAAACATACATACATATATGTACCTAATGTAAAACAAAACTTTTTAGATATGCAAGCATAATATGTACAAATTATGTGATCAATGGCAAAATTCAATTTTTTCAAATTAAAATTATATTCATACTCAAAATGTACTCAAAAAAAAACCGAAAAGGAAGTAAATAAAATATGGAAATATTGAAGACTTCTTCACTCTGGAACTAAGAAAATTAAATGAATTGAAAATATCAAGTTTTTACTATTAATTTTATTGACTTGAAATTTACTTTCAGCCGACTAAGTTTGTAATTTTTTGTCAGCCATCTTTGATGTTATTATATTCGGCTTCAAATATAATATACGGATACAGTATACAAAAAATTTCACCAACACATGCATACACTTAATTCTATAGATTTGTCAGATAAGTTTTCACTTGTTGCTTTATTTATTACATTGCTTCTTGTTAGTCATTCTTAATCTGCATTTCAGACTGGAAAATTTTATAAAAAAATTCAATGAAATAAAATTTTATAAATTCAAAATCAATTAATTACATACATATTTACATACATATTCATGCATAAGTGTTATTATAAGTGATAAAATGAATTTGAAAACGAATTTATTTGATTAAACCCTGTGTTATAAACATACACACGTACATACATTTAAGTAAGTAAGTAAAATGTGTTAAATTTAGAACTAGATTGTTAATTCAATATGGCATCTGCCGAAGTGCCATATTAAAAAAAATCTTATATTTTTGTACATCCATACATACCTATAATCTATATATGTATATATATTGTAAAATATACTCATCTATTATGTACATACATATGTAAACGCATGCATAAAAATATCGAGAAGGTAAAAAATTATTTTAGACATTGTTCGTTTTTTTCTTAACGCTTCATATTGACATACATAGGTATGTATACATGTATATGCATAAGAAAATAAATTCATATGTGTTCATTTCTGTACGACATTTCATACAATGTAATCGTATGTACATATGTATACTGTTATTATATGCCTTTGCAAACATAAATAGGTATGTGAATACACATATATTTGCGTATATGTATGTAAAAAAAAATTATAAAAGCGATAATCTAAATAAAACTTTTAATAAAAATTTTTTCAGTCGACTAAAATTTTTTGCGCTTGCGGTTGTTTTTATTATAGAATATCAGCCGTGACTGAAATATTTTCATTAAATTATTCTGCCTTGAGGTTTAGTCACGTTTGATAATTCAATTGAGGAACATATACTCGAGTATTATAATGCGAACTGAAATATAAAAAAAATAATTAATTTTAAAATTTGCAAAAACAATAAGCAAAAAAAAAAATTCAAAGTGGTATTAATACATAGATACATAAGTAAGTCCACAACTTTGTCGAATATTTCATTTAAAAATAAATATGGCGTGAAATAATTAATATTTTTGTGGCAGACATTTTGATGTTAAAAGCGTCAAAAATTTTATGAGAGAAATGAACAGAAAAAAAATTTTTTTGTGTCAATTTTATTTAAGTTACATAAGAAAACTGACGGATTTGATTTTTTTAATAAGAAAAATTGCATGTGGTAGCAAATAGTTGATTGATATTAGGAATAAAATGGCAGCTATAAAAATATTCTTAAGTGAACATTTCGATTTGAAATTTGTGTGTGAAAAATTTTAATTTCTATTTAAAACATATGTACATATGCATTTCAAAGAAATAGTTTAAATTTAAAAAGAAAAATTATGTATTATTTATGAAAATTTATTCAACATTTCATTATTCGAAGAACTAAAAGTGAAACTAATATGAAATATGTATAGGTGAAAAAGGGACGAATTGAAATTGCAAAAATTATCTACTGCATATAAAAAATTCACAATAACACATACTTGAGTTTGAGTATTATAAATTTAGAGTTCAGTAGAGATTCTTATCTTATTGTAAATTTTTCTTACAAAATCGATTTTTTTTAATAGACTCAAATCGAAAACCAGAGTATCGATCCGTCAAGAAATTGTATGGAATAATTTCGATGCGACAGAAATCGATTCAAAATCCATATAAAAAATTATGAAATGTACTGTGAAAAAATTATGAAATTAAGGAATTCGATTTTTAACCGTTTGAGTGCCAAAAATTTGCATATCTGCCGTGAAAATGCCGTGTAAAAAAGTGACTTTTAAAAAAAAAAAAATCATTTTCTAAAAACTTCTAGATTCTCATCGATAATTAACCGATTTTCTTGATTTTTTCTGTGTTTTTCTGAAGAATTGCAGTAGTTATTGAAATAAAGTAAACAATATAATGAACACAATATTTTATTTAGAAAAAAAAGAGAAAAAAACATGAAATAAAAAGAATTAACAATTGTGTTTTCCTGAACATTCGGTGTTTACCCCTTTCTTACACCGAATACAGATCCATGTTGATGGACGTAGTCCCGCACCATCCTTGTGACTACAAACCACACAGTGACACATCATTACTTTGGTCAGTATAATCATCACCCGACTATCACAAGTTTCGTATTACATTTTACGTATAAGAATCGTTGAATATCAATAAAATAAAATATTATTTGCAAAAAAATATCTACTTCAAAGAATAACACGAGTTAGGATTACAGTGTGAAGAAAAAACACGGCCGGTAAATGCGCACTGTACGCGGGAAGTGACACCTGCGCAATCGACGATTATAAACGTTCGGCACTTTTCGGGAACATTCGATTCGAAGAAATTCGACGATCGCTACTGTAACGGTTAATATGTAAAAAAAAATCCAATTAAAAAAATCGCATATCAAATGCCAAAAAATCAATTCTTTTCACATGTCCAGAGTTCATGTATTAAACAAAAAAAGAGAGTAGAATGATTTTTAGAAAAGTTTACACAAAAAAAAATAAATGTATAACTTAGGAAATTCATTAAAAAAATGAAAATTAAAAATTTTGAGAAAGATGTTGAATATAGTTGAATTTGAGCCTCATTTTATCAGATTACGCTGCATTCTTTATCATTTAGCACATTTAATAAGTTGTAAACAAAAAAAATCATTTTCCCAAAAGTTTTAATTTTACTTTCAGTTATGAAACTACAAAAAAAGATACTTTTTGCTTAATTTTTTTAAAATTGTTTTGTTAAGGCTTTTACGAAAATTTTTTTCAAGTAAAAATTAATTAAAACTAGATTAGAAAAACAAGATTAAAAAAATTTTTTTTTTAATCTTCTGTATTTTATTTTTAAATAGATTTTTATATCAATTACGTTACGCAAATTTAAAAATGAAATTTAAAACTATTTTAAATAAAACAAAAATAAATAAGTAATATTTAGATTAATATATAGTATGTACTTAAGTTATCTGTCGAACTGAAGAATTTTCGAAAACTGTTCTTATGTGCATGTGTATACATACATAATTATACAATTTAAAACAGGACGGTTCGGTTCAAGTGTTAAAATTCTCGGAAGGTGGTTTGCTCTAGATTTTCGAAAGAAAAACACGTTAAGGTGGATTCAGAAACTAAGTTGTAAGGGGTAATGTAGCACATCGAAAAAAAATAGGAGATTTTTTTGAGATAATTAACGTTTTTTGAAATATTTCAAGGTTTTCGATTCAAAATTTCGTGTTTGAGTAATTTTTAATTGAAAACGATAAGTGTGACACCAATCATCCGCATAATGTCATGTAGATCTATCTATATTGACAAAAAAGATTTCGAACACAACTTTGAAGTCACAGATCTTTATGGATAAAAACTTTAAAAGGAATGAAAAAAGTTTTTTATTCATTATTTACAATTAACGCTCTGCAAACGATCCAAAACCGAACGATAAAAAATCTTTTTAATTATAATTGGAGGGAGAATATTCCATTTATTCATCAAGCAAGTGGTATATTGTTATTGAAGAATTGATAAAATAAAACTAACTGTACACATTTACGACAACGGTATTAACCCAAAGAAGACATGTAAGTCTAAAAAACATTGTACATTAATGGTTTATCAACCTCCATGAGTATTGGAATAAGTCGTGGTGCAACAGTCTTAAGAGTAAATTTGAATAAATTAATACTGACCGCTTAAACAAAGAGTTAACCAGTAGATCGCTGAAAAAATATTGTAAAACTTCTTTATTGATTATCTTTTCTTTTCTTTGTTCGTTTGAAAATATAAATAATAATACATAAATAATACATTCATAATTCATAAATAATACATAAATTATAATTTTTGGTTTTAAACATTTGGTTTAATTTTTGATATTTGAATTTAAAATTAATTTTGTGCTCTGATTTTATCTTGATTTTATATTTAAAACCAAATTTTATTTTTACTTTATATCGGCTTTATGTACTTAATTTTAATTTTAATGCGAACTTGATTTCTTGAAATTTTTTTTGTTTACAAAAAAAATTTCAATAACTTTCATTTCCTTTTTTTTTACGTATATATTTAACATTATAAATATTTTTTAATAAGTAGATGACAAATGTCAATTAGTGTGAATTTTTTATATAAGAAATTACTTTTTCTTTTTTAAAAAGCAGATGACAAATGGACATTCGCGAATTATTAAGAAATTAATAAATTTGCTTACGACACACAATATAATCAATATAGCAGAGGAGTCAATATCGCAAACAACGTTTATTTGCAAAAATAATTTCATCTAGTAGATTTTATTTTTTCAAAAAATTTGCTTGCTAAATTGATAATTTAATAATTTTACCTGACAAACATTACGTGAAGCATAAAATCCGAATTTTGGGGATTCATTTGCGGGCTCTCCGGGAACTTTTTTTCATTAAGTTGTAATACCTTTCTGCCCCCTGGAGATTATACCAAGTTACTGGCTCAGCATGTATAGCCATTTTAATCAATAAAATTGCTGCTTCTCAACGTTTTAGTGTAGTCAAGGCCAGCGATGCCTTTTTTGACATTTTGAAGAACCGATTCACATAAGATATAGAATTTTCACATTATCGAGAAACAGAAATTCAATAAAAATACAATATATACGTACAATAATTAACATATTTTGACCATATTAATATTAAACAACAAATATCTGCTAAATTGTTTATTATATTAGTATTTACACATTTGATTGTTAAATATTCTATAATAAATGTTATTAAAATTTTTTATATTTTAGGTTAACTAAACAGTGAACAACATAACTGATTAAACTTATTTCTGAATTAGCAAATAAATAATTTCATGATCAACCAAGCGCAAAAACAAGTACAAAATATGGCTGATTATAAAAAAGTTGCAACACTATTGATAAATCAAATTATAATTACATATTTGAAATGATATCCTTATAGCTATATCAATATGAATTTTTTAAAATCATAGTTTAATAAAATATGTAATTTAAAATATTTTCAAAATAAATGCTTTGTGGTTTAAATCTATGTAGTGTTCATATTGTTTTTTAAATAAAATAAAATTAATAAAATTAAAAAAAAGTGATACAAAGCACAAATAAGAGAAAATCAAATTGGAATTCATGTTATTTTCAAAAAGTAAGTGTGAAATACAATGCAAAGCAACGCATTATAAACCATACATAGAACACGTTTTGTTTAATGTTTCTATTTAAATCTAGTTTACCGGAAGGAGGCAAATCGTAGATCTATGACCATGCAAAAATGGCAAACGATTACAATTTCGAAACTATAGTAACTTATTTGAAAAGTTCTGTTATCTCATTTTTTATTAGCATCCTAATATTTTGTTTAAGGGAACTTAAATGGAAAAAGCTTACGTATTTCCTTTTTACTTCCATGATTACATTTTCATCAAAATCGCGATTTAAATTTTTTGGATCACTTTCCATTCTCGCATCACTTTTAAAAATTACAAATTGTACAAAATTGTACTAAATTAATACAAAATTTTTTTTTCTTTTTTTGTCATTGTTTACAAATTCTAATAACATTTGCGTAAACGATTGCAATTTAAAATTTTTGAATTTTTTTGGTATGACAGGGAATTGGTTTTATTTGATACGTATTAACATACGAGGGCTGTCCCAGAATTATGTAGCCTAACCAAGAAAATACAAAAATTTTGAAAAAAAATAAGCCTGGCAGAAAGCCCTATCATTTTAAGAATTAACTGTCACACTTTTATTTATTTTTTTTTTTTTCAAATTATCGACTATTAATAGTAAAGCTTTTCAGTAAATTTTTAATATGGATAAAATTGGTCATCGTTATGTCATTCAATATTTTTATTTGAAAGTCTTAGCCCAGCCTGTATCAAAAGTGAACTAGATTCTACACTAGGGGAGTCTGCTCCCTCATACGCAATGATTAAAAATTGGGTAGCGCTGTTTAAACGGGGCTCTTATAACATTCTTAAATCTCATGTTTGATTTATGAGATAAAAAATCGTACACGCGGACTATGCTGTGTATAAATGTAGTTGCATATAGAAAATTCTGCAAGAAAAGTTCTGTAATAGTTGTGGAGAGTTCTACACTTGCATACATCTACATTACAGCGGCTACTAAGATTCCCTACATCCACTGCCTTTAGGGGATCGCTAAGAACTTCGAGAAAAATTTTACCTCGTTGCAAATTGGTTTCAGGATAGAAGAGTAGCACGAGCAACTATAAAAACGACTTCGCGGATGAGGTAATTAGGTCACTCATCATGCCAAAGTGCAATGTTTCACATGATGGCGCTCCACTTTTGTTGGTAGGTCTATATCATTAAGTTATAGAGACGGCATGTTAGGTGACATGAGATAGAAAATGAGACTTAAAATGATAAGAAAAGTTCTGAAATAGTTTTAGAGACTTGTATGCATTTGCATTACGGGGGCTACTAAAGTTTATCATTGCTATCGTCCCTGGGCCATCGTTCGGGAAACTTCGAAAAAAAATTCATCTAGATGCAAATAGGTTTCAGGATAGAATAGTACAAGGAACTAGAGAAACGATTTCGCGGATGACCCAATTGGGTCGATCATCATCGCATAGTATATGCACGGACAAACGTCTGTGCGGGGGAAGACAAGGGTGTATTTGAGTGAAAGAGATAACTTCTTCGAATCTATAGAAACGTATCTGAGAGTCGCAAAACTAGACAACTATTAGGAATGTTGAATTCATTATAGTTGTCTAGTACCTTCCGAAGCAGTAAACAGACGCGAGTCACATTGTATTGGTTGCCGATGCATATGGCCGTACAAAGAAATGAAAACCGATATTTCGCAATCAGAGAAATTAAGTATTAAAACACTTTAAGAATATTATAAGGTTGGGAAAGAATTGTGAGAATTTTCACCACTGGCTTGATAAGGCACGGCACATTTAAAGAACATATTAGAAAATTGGCTAAGGTAGACTAAGGAAACCTCAAAACATTATCTAGGGAAATATATGTTGATAGTTAATGTGAATCTAGATTTAAGGGGAGGAGGGGGGGTTGGCTGAAAAATACTGCATAACTTTACCTGTCTGTAGTATCAGTATTATAAAACACATAATGGAAATGCCAAAAATATAGTATATACGTAAAATATAGGAGATGTCACGATCGCAACAAATTTCAGTGAATGATAGAATTTATTTAAAGTTTGCGAAATGATAATGAAATTATTGCAACCTAACAAGCTGTGTCGATCAAAACTGAATATTAGTTGTTTATTTCAGTTTTATTATTTAATAGAAGGAACCAATTGATTTTCTAATACAAAATTCGATTTTAGGAAACTGAATCTTTATTAATTGCGTATTTTTTATTTTTGCCCATATTTAATATGTTGTTTTGGTCACATAATAAATGAGTCGTTGGAGAAAACTGCATTTTTATTACTAATTTGCCTTTATTATCAAATAAACAGATAACTTAAAGCACAAAACATATAAGATGACTTGATACTTGGGTTAACAGTTATATATTTACATACATATATATATATATATATATATATGTAAAATATACCTTATTATAATATAGTGCTTTTTAATATTTTTGTCATATTTTTTTTTTTCAGATAAAAATTACTGAACATGGAAGATAAACGATTTGCAAATTTAAAACAGGATCTACCATTTTTAGAAATGTTAGTTTCTAACATAAAGAATTCACTTGTAGGCAAAATTATAGATGTGATCAAAAATAACGAAGTGTAAGTTATTTATAAAGAGACTAAAAATATAAGAATTAAAAATTGCTCAGAATTTATTTCATTTCATTATAATACAAAATTTGTGAAATTATTCGAAATCTATATAAATGAACGTATTTTTTAAAGGCATTCAACGGTTACCGATGAAAGACTTACAAAAATGAAGAACATAGTAGAACAATTGAAGAAAAAACATAAAATTTCGGTAAGTAAATGCAGTTTTTAACCAAGAAGTGGGATAATTTACAACTTCTTCAAATATTTTAAATAATTTTAGATTATATCAGTTTAATTATATGTAACAGTAATATATGAATAATAAGTAACAATAAAAATATTAAAAATTTTATCATGGAGAAAAATAGAATAGAAATAAAGAAACCTTAATATGTACATACCTAAGCATGTTTAAGAAATAAGTTTTATTTTAAGTACAATTATTGTAGTTCCGTATAATGTTTACCGTTCCTTTGTTTAGCTATTACGCTTTTTTTTTATTTGTTTTTTTTTTTTAATTAAACTTGCTTAAACTAGCTTAGTTATTTGCCACCTAGTTCTTTTCTTTTAGTAATGACAGTTTTTCCTCGATATTTAATATTCAAACAATTATTTAATATGTCTAGTCTTTCAGTTTAATTAAAATTTATTTAAAAATATAAAATAGAATTGAAACACAACAGAAACATAAAATAAATTTAATGTAGAATATGATAAATTAAAAGCATTAGTGTGTTCTATGTACGTATATAAATAGGTACACATTTTTGATTTTTTTTTAGGAGACACAAAACAAAGTTGGCATGGACACCTCAGAAAAATTAAAAATCAAGAAAAATGAAGGAAAAATATTGGATTATATAGATTTGGAAAGTAGTGATGATGACGAGAAAGTGAACCAAAACAAAAGCAATAATGTTCAAAAAAATGAAGATTCTAGTGACGAAGAAATAGAATTTTATGAGGTACAAAATTCTACTTCTAAAACAAATCCTCCAAATCCGGTTAAAACTTCAGAAAATGTTATAAAAGTTGAAAAGGATAAAGATCTTGATAGCGATTTAGAAATTATATCTGACTCTGAAGATTCTTTTCAAATTAAATCGGTTAAATCTAATAAAACTGATATAGAAATAGAGTTTTCCAATCATAATCCAACTGATGAAACAAAAAAAAAATTAGATAGCATAAAAAAAGAAGAAAAATCTCTTTTTACAAGAAGAAATGATCGGAATATATCAGAAAAATTGACTGATAAAAGCGATTCAAATGAATCCCGTGAATTATTGAATGAAAAAAAAGAAAATATTCCAATATCTAAAAATATTAAAGACACTAATATAATAGAACTAGAAGATAGTGATGATGAATCAGATCATTCCCATACAGAATCTCTTCTTTCAATGAACTCCACGGAAATGAATGAAATTGTAGAGAATCTTAAATCAGAGCAAATTGAAAAAATTGCAACAAATGGGAGAAACAAAAGTATTGTCGAAATCAAAGATTTATCTTCAAAACAAGTAAATAAATTAGGTAGACAGGATGTAATGAAAAGTCCCTATTCGAATATTAACAAAAAAGCAAAATGCTCTAATAAGGAAATTTCCTCTTCAAAAGATAAAATATTGGATAAAAACATGGTGAATGAACCGCTTTCTAATAACAACGAGGTCTTGAGCAACGAAAATGATATTATAATGCAATTAGTGCAATTCACAAATAATCTTGAGAAGGGTTTCTCATCACTAATAGAACCAAATACAATTGCTGTTAAACCAAAAAATAGGGATCCGCGATTAAACAAACATTTAAATAACACTATTGAAACAGTAACAAATACTGTACCAGCAAATGTTAATTCTCAAATTATGTTGTCTAAGAGCAATGTTAAGGTTGTATCACCAATATGTCCAGTTCTTGCAGTTCCATCATCATCAATTTCATCTCAGCAACAGTTATCAGTATCGGCACCAATAATATCACTTCAACAATCCTTACCAGTACAGGCATCAATAATTCCAATTCAACAACCAATGCCTGTACCCCCACCATTAATTCAACTTCAACAACCTCCATCAAATATTGAAAAGTTACCCATGGTCGTTATACCACCTTTTCGTAAAACTAATCACCCACAAAATCCTATCACTGTTCCACCGCCTCCATCATATCATAAAGAAGACATTATAAGTGCCTTGGAAAAGTCTGAAATGCTACCAAATCAAAATAATGGAAAAGCCAATAATCTTCAAAATAATAATTCGAAACCTATTTTCACAACATCTAAACAAACTTATGGTGAATACTTGAGACAGCGTGATGAAGCGAAATTAAGAGCTGAAAAGGAAGCTTATGAAAGAGGTCTTAGACAGGCAGAACAATTAGGTTTATATAATTCAGCAGATAATATAAGAAACAAGCAAAAGCAAGAATCAAATCCTCCTGACAAGGAAATAAATAGCGCAGTTCCCACAACGTCAACAAACTCAAAAGTTGTGGATATTGATAAAGGTCGAAAATCAGAAAATAATGAAAAAACAATTGTAAATATTTCTACAAAACCTGATACAAAAGCTTCGGACGTAAATTCTGAAAATAATAATGAAGAAAAGAACAATAAAACAAAATTTGTTAAAAAAAAAGGTAGAATAACAGGTATATTATTTTTTTTAATACATTTCTTACTTTACATTAATTACGATTAATAATCCTTTTCCAGTGTTGTCTGATTCATCTTCAGAAAATGAAGACGAATTCGTAAAAGAACCAGTTCTTAAGAATAAATCAAACGAAAACAAAGGACAAAATGAATTAAACCCAAATAATACAATAGCTTTATTGAAAATATTCACAGATTACTTGGTCGAAAAGCAGATACTAGACGAAAGTAAAATTGAGTCTCTTTTAAAAGATGAGCATTTAAAAAAAATAAGTACACAAAATGAAAAATCTGTTATTACAGAAACAAAGAAAACGCAGAAATGCGATATAATTGATCAAATAGAGACAAAAGAACACATACCAGAAAAAGTTAAGCGAAGTAGAAGGGTTAGTAAAAAATCCACTACAAAATCACATGCAAACGTTTCTGATGTTGCAAATGATAAAATGTCTAGAGAATTAGAGAAGTTGCATGAACAAATTGATGGATTTTATGACCGAGATGAAATATTAGCTGCAGCAGGAAAACATCGTGCTTCATCAAAGTTAGCTTTACAAAAGATGAAGAATAAGACGGCAGAACAATCTCCAAATGACGATGAGTCATCAACAGATGGTGAAACACATACAAATATAATAACTCTTAATAAATCTACAACTGAAGATCAAATTTGTACAATATCAAAAGCGAAATCTATACTGCCATTGCGAAAATCATGTTATGTCCAAATATCAAATAACATTAGTGATCCCAAATTTATAAAAAAAAATAATTATAATAAAAATGATAAAGCTATTGAAATTCAATCATCTCTAAGTGCACTGACTTCTGCACATTATGAGTTACAAAATATTATAACAAATGAAAAATCAAATATAATCGCAAAAGATGATGATTATGATACGGACGATTTTTCATCACACTTAAAGGAAAAAAAAATTAAAAAAAAGTTGAATAAAAAACTAATTTCAAATTCAGTTGTTCCCAAAAGAGAATTAAAAATTATTTTGAAAAGACTCACACCAGAGGAAATTTCTCTCGCATCAAGTACAGATAAAGTACCAGTTCTTAAACCACTGTCAGTAGTACCAGCATTATCTCACTCCCAAACTGATAGATCAAGGAAAAAAAATAATTTCCAGCTAAAAGAAGATATGTTAAATACTAATACAAGTCATCATTGCAAAAATAAAGAATTTATGAAAAAATGTATTCTATGTAATAAAAGTCCTAGAGATATTGTCTCACATTATGTAAATCTTCATTCAAATGAGTCAAATAGTGAAGTGTACTGTGCACGATTACCTAATATTATTGTTGAAAAATTCAAATACGAACATATTATTGGAAAGCTGTTGGAAAAAAATCCATTTAAATACGAAGTTGATTGCATATTTTGTGGTGATAAAATTTTTGGTTTTCATACTGAGCTTTACGAACACTATGCACAACATACAGGTTAGTATGGTTCACTAACCATTAACTAAAAATATAATAAAACTAAGATTTATTTCAATAATTTAAAAAATTTTTGTAAAATGGCCCCTTTGAAATGAATATTTTCAAAGTATTCCTCTCTCTTTACACATCGATAAATATTTTTGAAAACTTATTTTATAATTTTTAAATGAATTTTTTCTTTTTAATTCTTCTTTGAAATATGTGCATACTTTTTTTGTTGTAGGTGAATTTGCTTGGCAATGTAATTCTTGTAATAAGAAATTTCCGTCTAAAAAAGATGTCTTAAAACACTGTAAAACTTCATGCGTAAATGATAGTAAACCACTGAGAATTTATGTTTATAACAAGGAGAGCAAAATTATTGCAACTTTTTGCGCTGCATGTAATTTCATACAATTAAATAAGGCAAACATTATACGGCACTTACAAAATCATCACTTTATTTCAAAAGAACCAGAAAAACTTTGCGAAATGTTAGTGTTGGTCGAATTTTCTAAATCTTCATCAACGACACGCCAATTATGTACTTCATATTCTTCCATTGATGTGAATTTAGAAGATTTTTGCGACAATAATTCTAATGTATATGACGAAAATGAAATAAATATGATTGATATTGAAGAAAAGGTGAAAGAAAATATTAGTTCGAATGCAGAACAAAATTTTTCGACCGCAACCAATGATAATGGTTTGTACCACTATAAATATATATATATATATATATATTTATTTTTCTAATTATTTTCTAATTTCATAAAATTTTAAGATATCGACATAAAGCCTATGGTTATGGAAGAATTAAATGAAATATTTTGTGAAACTTCTACATTACAAAATGGACAAAATGAAACAGAAGAAGATAACATTGAAAACGATGTTGTTGACATAAGAGATGATGATGATGACATAATTTACATTGATTCAGGAGATGATGAAAGTGATGCAACTTTATCAATTAATTCAGATTCAAATTTTATTAGCGTTAGTGATATTCAACATGAATCGACACCATATGTTCATTCGAAGGGAAACTGTCCGTTAAAGCCTTGGCTTAATGATTGTTGTAGTTTAGATAAATCGAAATCTAAAACCATTTTAGCTAATATGGATTTATCAAATTTCTTTAAATGTATAAAATGTAAATTTTCAACAAATGCAGATGATCAAATGCTGAATCATTTAAAAAAACATAGATTGGATAATTTAGTTGGATGCTTATCACAAAACAGTATTGAAGGCGATCAATTTGAATCACGAAACAATGAAGAAAACTTTGAATGTTGTTATTGTGGTGTAAAGTCAAAAGATCCGTCTGACTTAATTTTTCATATAAAATCTGAACATGAGGGTTCAAATGTACAGTGTTCAAAATGTTTTTATAGAAGTTGTTCCATTTTTAGCGTCAAATTGCATATAAAAATGTTTCATCAAAATGATGGTAAAATAATAATATGTGAAGGAACTGAAATTCCTGTTTTAAAGCAGTTTGAAATTATGCTCGAAAAACGTCAACAACATTTAAAGCCTTTTGAATGTCATCTATGCAAAAAAGGTACTTTTTTAATTACTAATATATTTATTAATAATTCAAGCAATTTCAAACTTATAGGTGAAAATACAAAATTCTATCTAAAGAATGATTATGAGAAACATTTTAAAACTATGCATAGATATATGACTATTCCCTCATTAAATAACCGTGGTATGTTGTGTTGTCTATATTGTACGTTTGAGACGAATTTAAAACAGGAAATAGGAAATCATATGGCGAATTACCATCCTAACAGAGAACAATATGTAGCATTTAGATTTAGAAATCCAAAATTTAACAAAAAGGTATTTTGTGAACTTAGCAAACAATATCAGCTTGGAATTATATTCTAACGATTTTATTTCATACAAATAGAAATCTTCTTCCACTCCGGACTCAACATTTTTAGTAGATTTATCAGAATCGGTTCTTAAAAGTAATTTTATCGACCCTGTACTTGCTAATAAGAAAAGAACCAGTATTTCTGCAAGCAAAAGTACGTTGAGGAGCCTTGCAGATAAAAAAAATGAAACAATAAGGTCTATTAAAAATCTTTCAAATGATTTAGCAGTATGTTGTGATTCACAAGAAAATGAGCAGTGTACTGAATTTGCTAATACCCTAGAATCTTGTCAAAATGAGCTCTATGAAATGGCTAAGCTTGCTGTATTTCATACTGGCTTTATTGAAAGTAATTTATATGTTTGTCCAATGCAATATTGTAAACTTCATTTCAACGATTACGAAAATTGGTTTAATCACGTAAAAAGCAAGCATCCGGCTATATTGAATTTGAAATTTAGATGTCCACATTGTCCCAATTTATACGCAACAAATGAATTCAAAGAGCATTTTGATGAGAACCATCTTAAACATAAATATTTTTGTTATATTTGTGGAACTTCTGCCATCTCGAAAGATAAAGTAGAAAATCATTTCCAGGAAAAGCATCAAGTATCAGATACAATATGCAAATTATTATTGCCAAACAACAAGTATACTGAAGAATTTTTCGTAGTTCTGCCAACTGAGGCAAACTGTGATAATAAAACATTAATACTTCATATGAAAAATATATTGATTAAGGTGCCTCATAAAAATTTAAGTACGAAAGAAAAATCAGTGATATTACCGAAATTTGTTGCATTGGAAAGTGAGCGTTATAAATGTCCAGAAAAAAATTGTTCATGGACAACTCAATCAGAAAAGAATTTAGAAGAGCATTTTAAATACATTCATAAAACTAGCAAATCATTTAAATGTTTACACTGTTCTTTTCATATTGATGAAGGAAACCGAGATTTTGATCGTGTAAAAGATCATTTACGTATACATGGAGAAATTTTATATGTTTGCACCAAATGCCGCTTTTTTGATCATCAACGCCAAATTGTACAAAAGCATATTAGAACAATTCATAAACTACATCTGAACATGACCAAAATTGTACGTTCTTTTCGAAATGACGTAGAGAAATGTGTTTATCAAACATGTTTAGAAGAAGGACATATATTTTTATCACTTTCATTTTGTCCAATATGTGAAGAAGATTTAAAAGATCCTGATAAAATTGTAGATCACCTTAAAAGCCAACACTCTGTTGATGTAATCTTTGAATGCCAATATTGCAAAGGACCATTTACAAAGTTGGATTATGTAATTGGTCACATTAATAAAGATCATGACAAAGTTTTAAATATACGGTGCAATTTTGAGTACATAAAAAAGTCCACCTTCGACCAAACAAATATTCAAAACCAAACTGAGGTAAAATCTGTTAAAGAGAACATTTCATTTTCCACAAATAATAAGCGAACAAGAACAGAAGATAATGCAAAAGCTGATTATCTGCAAATTAAAAAAACAAAAATTGAAGATTCAACAACCGAATCGGAAAGAAAATCATTTCACGTATATGTTTGCGAAGAATGTACCTTTGAATCATTTACACGATCAGATTTGATAACACACAAAACGCAGGTACACTCAAATAATTTAGATTCATCGATTGCTTCGTCATCAACATATGAAGGTAGCAATAACAAGAATCAAATAAATTGCCAACATTGTAAATTTAAATGTAATACACAAGAAGCTTTGAATGAACATCAGTTAATAGAGAATCATGTAAATGATAAAGTAACATACCGCTGTAACAACTGCTCTAACAATTTTGAGAATTTAATGGATTTAAAACTACATAATTTAATGGAACATAATGAATTATTAGCTAAAAAACCACAAAAAGTTATTGAAACCGATTTATTACAAAGAGAAAAAATATATCACTGTGAGTTTTGTAAGTTTTTTACAAATTCGGTACTCATAATGAGGGAACATAAATACAAGCACAAAACCATATTTTATAAAAATGAAAATAGAAATACTAATAACAACAATTATAATAACAATAATAACAGTAATACAAATATTAATAATGATAATAGTAATAACAGTAATAGTAATAATAATAATAATAATAATAACAATAATAAAAATAATAACAATAATGAAATTCATGTCAATTCGATATCAAATATTGCACCAAGTAGTTCTATTTCTAGTCATCCTTTAATAAGAGTAAGGCCTATTGAAACCTTGATCGATCCAAAAGTAGCTACTGTCAGGTTACATACGAACGCTTCAAATGAAGGTAAATTTTTTTAAAATCATCTTTTGTATTTTATGTCAAATATATATGTACATATATTTTTAATTGATTTTAATAATATTATTTTCAAATTTTACGTGCATATTTGTCCAAAATTCTTTTAATAACTCGGAACTTATTACGGAACTTATTTTTATTATATTTGAAATACATATAAACATATTTTTTTTCCTTTTGTCAGTAAAATATATGAAAAATCCAAGGACAGGAGCTACAGACCTGAAATAAAATATTTAAAATATTTCAACTAATATAAAATTCTGACGTTATATTAAAATCGCCAATTGTTTTCCAGATACGTTTGTTTCTAAGAAAGGGCTGTAAAACAGACTTTAAAGGAGGCTAGTAAAAAGTACATTGCTAAGTACGTATCCAAAAGTCTCCAAATTTTTGAATATATTTAGAGAATAGGTTTATTTTTTAAATTTAGGTTCAAAAAAGTTGCAGACATGGTTTTTAGGTCATATTTTTAATTTTAAAGTCGCGTAAATTAAGCACTAAGTGATCAGCCAATATATACATACATTTGTTTTGCCCTTCCAAGTTTCTGTCCATAATACTATTTTACTCGAGATGTTTAGCGGTGTGCTTAATTTTGATCTTTGTACTTTACATTTTCTTTAACATTTTAATATCAATTGTAATTCTGCAATCACATATGTATTATAAAATAATTTTATTTCATTTCAGGCGAAAACTATAAAGTACTGCGAAATATTTTAGAAACAAATCTTGATCAATCAAATGTTCAAAGAATACCAACAATAATTACCCAAAAAACTGGCTTATCACATAAAACAACAACACCACCAGTTTCAACTGTATTTCATCAAAATTTATAAATTATAGAACAAAATTTAAGAAAAATTATTTAAAATGCGGAAAACTTAAAATTTAATATAATAAAATTTGGAGCAATCGGTGATATCAAAACATTTTTATGTTGTTGTATAATTATAATAATAATAATAATAATAATGTCTAACTAGATGTGACTTTCGTCTTTTATGAATTATGAACAAATCATTTTTATTAAGAAAATTTTCGCTTCTTATAGATTTAAAGAATTTAAATAATTAAAAATTGAATTTATTATTTTAATCATATTTTTTTTTTTTTTCTCAAATTGCTTCAGATTTTTGAAATGTGTAGAGATTTATGTAAATATTATTATGAAGTGAATAAAATTTGTTCTAGTTAATATTAAAATTTATTTAAAAATCTATGAATTAGTTAGAATAGATAAGAATTGAAATTAATTCAATTGAATTAATATTTTAAATAATCCGTTTTTTCCAATTAAACAAATTTAAAAATTTTATATTTTTATTTGTATTTTATTTTGAAACTTTTGAAATTTTTTATTATTTCTTATCAATTTTTTCTAATTAATATTAGCTTAATTGAAATTGTTTTTGAAAAGTAAATATTTAGGAAAAACTGAAATATTAATAAAAAGAACCAGTATAAAAGAAGACTTTATCTTATTCAAAACAATAAAAATTCAAATAGCGTTAGTTATGTAAGTTGTAAAATATGTAAGTATAGTAATTTTGTATCAAAATTATTTTGTAAGTCCGACTATTAAAATAAGGATTGCTATTAAGTAATATTAACAATAAAAAAATTATGTAGAAATTCAGTGTTGCAAACTAGAAATTTTTAAATTTTAATTATACGTTTTCGATTAAACTAATTTTGCTTCGAATTTAAGTTTAACGTTTTGTTTCTGTTGTAGTAGGGTGTAGAGATTGCGTTACTAAAATATTATTGAACCAAAAACTATATAAATTTATAATTAATTTGTAATAAATTTCTTTAGTATTTAATTTAATAATAGGGGCCATAAGAATTTTTTGCATCAAAGAAGAAAAATGGGTCCTTCATCATTTTTTTTATTCATTTAATTCAATATTTTTTTTAAATGCTTATTTTGAAATTTATGATATGTATATAAATTAAATTGTTTTTTATGAGAACACTAAGGCTTGTTAAATATAAGTTTTTATAATAGATAAATGAACTTGATAAAGTTTTTGTATTCTAAATTCAAGTTTTGTATTTTATTATATATTTAATTTTTAATGAAACAAAAATATTCTCAGAGCAGAAATTTTTCAATTGAAAAACTTGAGATCTGAACAAAAATCATGTAATTTTAATAATTTTATGGGAATGGAAAAAAATGGTACATATGTTGATTTTATTAAATATATATTAAAGTAATATTTATTTTCAATAAAAAATTTAAATTGATTACAATTAATAAAATTGGAAAACAAAAGTTATTCTTTTAATGAAAATAATGAAAATTTTTAATTTGCATCCTGATAATACAAAAAATTTATTTATATTTTTATATTTTCGTTTATTTTTTATATTAATATTTAAAATTGCATTTATATAAATTAATATATAAAAACATATATATCTTAGAAATTTAACAATCCCACAGGTTCAACGTCTGGAAAAACGTTTTAAATTCTTAAAATATTAAGATAATTTTCTAATTACTAAAACAATTATAATTATGTATTAATAAATTTAGTATTATATTATCACATATTTGATTAGAATTTATTTTAGTACATAAAATTTTCAATTATTGTATTACAGAATACCTAATAATAATGATTTTTTTATACACGATATACATTAGCTGATATACATATATCGTTAGCGTATGTATTATATTAGAATTATTAAAAGATAACCGATAAAATCGATAAAATAATTTTTGTACTAAAAAAAAAATCTAGGGGCCTGTCATTATTGTTTTTATTATTCAGATTTTTTCTAAACTTTTATTCATTTTTGTTGTCATAATTAAAAAATGAACTGTTAAAAATAGTTACCAAATGAACTGTTAAAAATAGTTGCCATAAGCTCAGCATCATCATTTTTAAAAATGAATGACATAGCTGTCTATTATTTATTAATTTTTTTTTTCTGTGGTGAAAATTAGTTTTTATCTTTCACTCATTTTTTCACTTTTTTGTGACAATAATGACATAAGATCATAAAAAGTCTATCAAGGCTACAAAATTCATCGAATAAAGCCACAAAGCCAAATTATTTAGTTTAAGAAATTATAAATGCAAAATATTTAAATTATCATCTATATTCTCTGTATTAGACGATGCATAAATTTTTGATGATGAGTTTATATTCAAATTTTACAATTGTGTTGTAAAAACATGCGCAATGTAATTTATATTCTTTCATGTTGTGTTTTTATTTAAGCTTCAATTTTATAAAATTTAGATTTTATAATTTAAATATGAAATTTTTTGTATTTTAATGTTGTTAAGTTAATATTAAAGTATAATTTTCCTTAAAAAAAAATTAAAAAATAAAAAATTGTTTTATTAATAAACAAAAATTTCTAAGATTAAGATTATAGATTTCTTTAATGATTAGGGAGTTTTAAAAATTCAGCCTTAATATGTTATATGATTGAATACAGTTGAGAATTACTGTCAGGAACTAATTATAGGTTACTTTTTCAGAATCTATTAATATCTTACATTTTTCTATGTGATTTTCTTTTTCAAACTTAAATGCTTTAAAACTTTAAATATGCTACGATTCTCGAACTTAGCCTTTTGCAGTTTTGATTTATCGAACATGGTTTCAATTTAGATCAAAGTTAAAAGTGAATTTTCGGAAATCTTCTTCGTTTCTGTTTAATTCAACGGGTATAAGGGGTATTATCGTGCAATATTGAACGAAAGATGCGAATTTGAACATTCAAATTAAAAATTAGCATTCAATTACAAGGAAAGTAGGAACTAATTTTTAAAGTAACAAAAATTTTAAAGTAATTGCTTGTAAATATTGTAAATTTATGAAAAAATTAAAAACGAAATTATTTTTCTTAAGAAACAAAATAAAATTTTAAAAAATGTTGAGATCAGTAATTTTAATTGAACCAATCCATATCAAATTAATTCATAATAAGAGCCATTCATTATAAATTCATATACATATGTATGTAAAATATGTATGTGGTTGCACATGTAAATAAGTAACATACAAACGTAAAATTGTAAGAGAAACAAAATTTTATTTGTATATCCAATTCCAAAGTTGCTTTTTAAAAAAAATTTTTAAAATAAGACTTGGAATACTTCTGATCTAAGGTAGATTTTTAATTTAAAATTTTAAATTATACTTACAACAGCAAAATTAAAAAATCTGATAATTTTTTTGTGTTCCAATTTTAATAATTAATAAAATAATAAGAATTTAATAAGAATTTTATTGTTGACAAAATGCATATGAAAGCATTTGGATGCCATACTTAATATGTACATATGCACGTATGTACTATGGTGAATTTATAATGAAAAAATATGAGAATTTTTTTAGCAATAAAAAAATTGATTTTATAACAAAAATATTCAAAAACAAGAATAAATAGAGTTGACCTTGTCAACTCTGGGTTATCCGTACGAATTAGTTATCCTATGTACGAATAAATATGCCATAACTGACTGTGTGACAGATTATGACTTTAAGTTGCCGTATTACCATATTAATTTATGAAAAATTTCAGTACCATGTGTTTTTCAAAATACTGTGTGCGCCAAACTACTATTGAAATTGTATGGCAGCTACAAGAAAGAGCTAAGAAATTTCAACGAATTTTATCAAGCACATCGGCCCTACTAATATATTCGCTTGTGTGTAATATCAATATTACACCTTTTATAGTTTCTGAGATATGGCCAAATAACTGTTGAAGTTGTACGATAGCTAACAGAAGGAGCCAAGCAATTTCAACGACTTTTATCAAACACATTGGCCCTACTAATATATTCGCTTGTGTGAAATAGCAAAGCTTTTATAGTTTCTGAGATATAGCCAAATAAATTTTGAAGTTGTATGGCAGCTACCCGAACCGGTACCCCGATCATATCCAATTTAAATAGTGTTCTGGAACTTACTACAATAAATCATTTGTGAATATTTCGTGAACTTATGTAGCTCAACTAGTTTTTGAGTTATCGCTGTACATTATTTGTACATACTCATGTACATATACATACATGCATATGTTTTTTTACTAATTACATATGTATGTATGGCCTAAGTTGTAAAATAAATTCAGTGAATTTACTGGAACTGAGTACATATTTTTACATTTTTATTTTAAATTAATGTATTAATTTTATTAAAAAAATTTTATTTTAATGCATACATACATACATAATACATATGTATGTATGTTCATATTACGTACATGCATACGAAATTTTGCAAATGTTTGAAGTTTAATGAGAGTTTGTGATCAGTTTTCCGTAAATAAATATTAAATGTTACATGAATTCTATTTTTAGAAATGTTAAGAAAAAAAAAATTTTTACAGATTAAAATATTAGTCCTAAACAAATATACTTACATACATAATGTGTATTCCTTTATACTTACATACATATGTATGTACTCATAATTTTTTTACATTCTTTACTACGATATTTGAAAATTTTAATTCGGACACATTTAATATGCGTACATACACATGTGTGTATATTAAAAATATAAAATGTTGTGTATGATCGATATGAAATTTTGAAAATATCGTAATATTTTCATGGCATATTTAGAATAATTTTTCTTTAAAATAGTGTTACGTTATTCAAATTACTGAATTTATGAGAAAAATCCTTTATTATCGAAATTGCAACACTGCCTAGCCCTCTACATACTTTGATATTATTCTACGAAAATTCTTTTTTTTTGTTGTTTGTTTTGTTAGTATGTATATATATAGTTTTATTCTATTTGATCGCCATCCATGTCCAGTGTGACATTTTTATGTTATTGCCATATTCATTGGAATTCTGATAAATGATTAATATATTTAATAGAAATATAAAACAATTATGAAATTTTTTTCGAAAATTCGAAACAAACATAGATACTTACATATGTACATTAACAGCATAATCTCGTATCTTATATTTTTTACTCACTTTTTTATTCACTTTCAAATCAGAATTCTCAAGTATTTTCTAATGGATATTTCATTTTGATTTCCAATAAGATTACTCATTTTTTCAATTGGATTTTTGCAATTTTCTCTCAAATTATCGACTGAACGTCTGACTTTCAAATACAAAACGAATAAGGTTTGAATTCATTTTAGAAAAAAACGAGATACACAATATTGAATAATTAATCTGACTCGAAAATTACATTATACAAGAATATGTTAGATAAATTTCTCACTTTCTTTTCACTTTTCGAGTAAAATATCGAAATAGAGAATCGGGCCCTACATATTTATGAAGAAATGAAGTAAGTTTATGTAAGTTATTTTATTAAATAAAAATCTTTTTAATGGGAGCAAATAAACACAAACACATCTATCAAAAATGTCAAAATTGATGTCTTACACAAACAGAATAGAAAAAGTACTATAAAAAAAACGGAAAAAGTACTAAAATAATATAAACAAAATTAAAATGGGTTCGTAAATTGCATGTGAGTGTTCACTGTTCATAACGATTTTCTAGTCAAGAAAACTTTGTATACAAATTTAAATTATAATAATTTTGAGTTCTTAATTTTCCAGGACATAGTATTGTAATAAAGGACGCTGGACCGTAAAAAAAATTCGTTCTATGAATTTTTTTTTTTTTTAAATTTTCGACTGGTAACACTATTGAAAAATATGTAATATCAATGTGTGCAATTTGATCCCCACTTGTTTTTTTTTTTCATAAATTTTTTGCAATTTTACAAATCATAAAATCTTATTTTTTTTGATTTAAAATTAAGTTGTATAAAAAAAAAGCAAACTAAACAAAAACCAAAATACCGTTATTTTCCTTTATAATGCGCATAATTTTCAAAACTTTGTACAGTCTATTGCTGGATAGAATTTGATTTGGTTATTGTCGAATCTCATTGACTTACATAAGTGATTTGAGTTTAGTTTGTACTGTGTGTCTTGTGTTTAAAGAAAATAATAATTTTAATATGTAATTTTTAAACATTTTAAATTGTGATCTGAAAATAAATTGTATTTTAGTTTATAAATATTTTTGTATATCGTAGATTAATTGTGCCAGCAATAAACAATTGTGTTTTTGTTTGTGTTGTACCTGATTGTGCTTTTTTAGTGATTTTAATTAAGTATTTTAAATTTAGTTTAAAAGAATTTTAAATTTAAGAATACCAAATTTAGTACTTATGAATAAATAGGTACATATTTCTTTAATTTTAAATTTACGATATCCTAGCTTCTAGTTTGGAAAAAAAAATCATTGACTAAATTAAAAAAAAAAAATGTATATAGAACTTTTTCGAAAATAAAAGAAGGTAATTTTTTAAAATATTTTCTTATATAATTGTACATACATACATACATACATACATATATATGAATTATATATACATATGTAAGTGCAATTCTGAAAATTTAAAGTTTAATGTTTGTGAAACAGTACTACGTACGATACGATACGCCTCTGTTACACATACTGAATTATATGCACATATTTACGCACATACTTTTTTTTAAATGTTGACATACATACATATTGTATGTTAAATATACATAATATGCTTATTTTAAAAATAAAAAAAAAAAACAGTTTTTAAATTTTGCAGTCATTCATGTGCATATACATATATACATATATACACATTGAGGCTTATTCTGAGTTTTGAATCATTAATTTGATAATTGTAATTATCGTAAAAAATTCGATATTATTGTAAACACAAACCGATTCATGCAAATGATTCGAGTCTATAATAGAAGTTTTTAAATTATTTACGATAAACATACATATTATGTATATCACCATATAAAATTAATTAGATAGATTTAGAAAATTCATAATATCTGGCTTGCTTTTTAAAAAACTGAAAAATAATGTTCTTGTTAAAAATACACATCACCACATACTTATAATAAATACATATGGTATAATTAAAAAATTTTCTAAAAATGTTCAGTTTCTGAAAATTTGTTCAGTATCTCAATCTTATATCTGCTTTTACGATAAATATCTTAATCTATTAGTAATTCGATATTCAAAATAAGATCACTAAGTGGTATCGATAAATATCGTAAAAAGTTCGACATTATTATTGGAAACCTAGACCTTTCATATTTCATATCAAATTCATAAAAATGATGCATGTCAATAAAAAAAAGTTTTTGAATCATTTACGATAAAAATCACTTTGTAATTCGATACTCAGAAATAAGCACTATTATGTATTTTTGAATTTCGTTTCTACCTAAAGTGTAATATCGTTAATTTGCAAAATTTTATTAATATTAAATTTTAAAAGAATTTTCTTTTTCATTTTCCGCTATGTATTAGCAAAACGCTTTTTATTACTTACTTTTTTTTTTTTATTTTATTCATTCATATTTAAATTCGAATCTCAGAGTATAACTTAAGCCTACGAAGTTCAATTGATAACTATTTAAAATTGTTGATGGTAATAAGTTAAATGTGGAATAATTTCGAAATTGGGTAACGAAAAAAGAGAGATTAATTTTCGATAACAGGTTGCAATCTCAATAAAATACACTTTTTTTTTTTTATTTACTATAAATGTTATTTATCTATAAATGTAAATACAGTGTTTCCAATACTTTCTTGCTCAATTTACCACCTTTAGTTCAAAAATTCCCATTTTTGCGCCTTTCCAAATCCTATTCTCTGCCATATAATTTCCCTTTAAGAAATTTTTATTTTATACCCACATATCTATGGCATTTTACTTAAATAAAATTCTTATTTAATAATTTTTTTAATCGCATAACTTAATAATTGTATAATTTAAACAAGTACTTTTCAAACTGTAATACAAGTAAAACTATATCAGATTAAAAACTCCAAAATAAATAATAGGGTTTTTTATTTTTGATCAAATTTTTGGTCTTTTTCACTTGACGTTTTTAAAATTCCCTCAAAATGTGAAATTTCCCATGATTTTATTCTTATTATTGTAACAAATTTATTGCATACTGAAGGACTTTTTTTTTTTCCCCCCTTTCTTATATGAACATTTTGAGTGACGCTGACAAGATAGAAAATTGTTTTATGATGGTGTGTATGTATGTATTTTCATTATTTAAAAATCATGAAATGTCAACTTCTATAATTTGACAGAGAGTAACTCTGTTTACATTTGTGACAATGTCTCTTTACGATCTACATCATATTTTTTCCCATTTGTTAGGTTATATTGCTTTTTAAACTATATTTTTCGTAAATGGAATGCAAATATGTAATTAGATAGAATTCCCAATTTTAAATATACGATATTGAAATCAAAAAAAAAATTATTGTCATTTCTTTTAATGAAAAACGTCATTCATATTTTTATTAAGCGTATTTTTTTTAAAATAGCGCGGTAAAATTTTGATGTTCCGCACTTATAATTTTGAATTAGCTTTATTACTTTTATTACTTTACAGTACAAAAATAATTTTATGTTATGTTGAGAAAAATGATCGTAAAATGAACGAATGTATTTGTGGTTTTTTTTTGGTTTGCAATATTTTTATTTTACAGACACGTTTTGTTTGTTTTTGTTTTTCTTTTTGTTTATTAAAATAAGAAATATTGTTTTATTTTTCTTAACGTATTTTTATTCCTTTGCGAAGTTCAAGACGGAGAAGAAGTTTTGTGTTTCGTAGTTCATAATTAGTATTATTGGAATTTTTTTTTTTTGAAGCTGTTGTGAAATAACTAAAAAATTTTAATTTTTCAATATTGTTTTTAAAAATTTTAAAATTTTGTAAATAGATAAATTTCTCTGTGTACGATATTAAAATTTTAATTGCAAGTGAATAGTGTTTATAAAGGATTTTTGTTGAGTCTTTAATTCACAAATTATATTGTGAATATATAAAAATTATTAAGTACTTAATATACATACTTATGTATGTGAACAATTATATACAACACGAAAGAAATATAAAGTGTAAAAGTACCAACTAAAATTTAAATTTCATATTTGAAAATTGGAAAAAATTTACAGGATTTTTCGTATTAAGGTTTGCAGGCAGATAAATATTTTCAAGAATGGTTCTTTCATAAATTTCCATTAAAAAAATCGTATGTGAGTGCAACTACCGACATACATACATACTTGTTTTCGTGCTACAACCTGTTGAAAAAAAAATCGTCCCCAGATTTTTCTTTCATATAAATAAATGCTAAAAATTTCAGAGTCATGCAAAATAGAGTAACAATTGGACATTTGTTTCAAAGATAGTAGATAATTCATTATTTTTGTTCTTACAATCAGTTAATCATGTTATGTAGTTGGTTTATGGTCATATAATTAAGTCGGATCAAATCCTCTGCATTTAAGGTTAGTTAGTCTTGAGCAAATAAATCAAATATTCTTCTGAGAGAATTAATTGTTAATTATATAAAATACTTACAAAAAATTGAAAATTGTTCTTATAATTTTTTTTTTTTTTTTGCTCAGTCCAATTCAAGAAATAGTAAATTTAATTATTATGTAAATTGTATTGTTTGTGATTAAGATTGAATATCCAAAATATGAATGTTCCATAATATGAAAAATGTAAAGTAATGGGAAAATAAGTATAGTGAATCCAAATTTATTAAAGAACGTTCATTTATGGATTGTAAAATATGATAGCTATTTGCTGTTGAACAAAAACTCAGATGATGAAATATTTACTGAAACAAAAATTCAAAGACCAAACATAAAATCTTCCTGTGTGATCAATTAATGGTTAATAACAAGAGGTATATGCCTCTCTATCGAACATCTAAATTTTAATTCAGTACTTAGCTAATTATTAAACTTAATTAACACGATACATGATTATTGCTCATATATTCGATGTACAAAAACTAATTTGAATTGTCTTTAAAAAAATTTTTGATATTAGAACAGAATTTTTTAACATTTCTCATAGTTGAGCTTCATTAAATATTTCTTAATTATATTCGCTATCCTTGAAATTTAATATTTAAATTCCTCGTATTGCAACAATGAACATATAAATTATTTGGAAAGATCAGGACTTGAAAACTGATTTGCGAGCCGATTTTACATTTTTCACCATATCTATGGAACGAATTGATGGAATTTCTTGAAATTTGATATTTGAGTTCTGGTTGTTACCAAAACTAACTGGCGAACATTTCATTGAATTCGGGTAGCACAAAGCGAAACTCTACTAAGAGTCAAATTTATATTTTTCTAGGTATGTTAACTATAAGCTTACTAATGTCCTAAAAATTGGAAATAAGTATTTAACAGACATTTTTATAATATTCTGTAACACTTTCACTTAACTATACGATACACATTGCGGTCGGTCATGTGCTGATCACATCAAATTTTTTTTAAATATTTTCTTATCCATTTGCAAGTACATGTACATATTACCTTGAGATCGGAAATGTAATAATTTCAAAGCCAAGAATATCAGATCATTTGCTTCATATGTACATAAACATAATATACCTACATAATTATTTTTAAATTGCATATTGTTAAAATTGTAAATATTTTAAAAACATGTGCATTTTTTTTCCAACTTATGTAAAATTGAAATTATAAATTTTAATTAAATTTCATATTCATGAAATAAATATTTTGTATATATATATGTATGTTAAAAAATTTATTAACATACATACTTACATTATAGAAATTAATTTTGTTTATAAAATACAACAGTTTGCTCTTAACTCTAAATTATCGTAAAATTATAAAAATAAGTGTGTAATTTGATTATGATTAACATGTATGTATGTATGTCAATTATGTTTTTATAATATGCAATATTATAATATGTATAGGTATTAATGTTTATATAAAATGTGCAAAATTTATAATTTTGTTCTTGTTGATCTTTCAGTTCAAATGTTTTGAATTTTAATCAAAATTAATTCTAAATGAAATTGGTTACGTCTGTCGATACGGTTCCTCGAATTGTTTTGTGAAATTTTTTCGGAAGTTTTGTATACATTTTATTATTATGTGGGCTATTATGTGTTGTATTGTCCAAGTTTTTATGGATTAATTAAAATTATCTAACACTGCTGTATATCCAATCTAAATTTAATTAATAATCGCACAGCCTCGTATAATATTCAATTTCAAATTCATAAATGATTCATCGAATTTTCGGATATAGCAGTTACTAACTGATATTAGTATTTTAATTATTAACAGTAATTAAATAATATGTTCTGGTAATTAAATAAAAGATAAATTCCAAATTTATACTCATTAAAATGCATTTGATTTATTGCTTTTTTAATCAACATTAATTTTTTAATGAAGTAATTATGTACTTGCAA